TAGGGTTCACCTCTGAGTCTTAAAAGCTTAGTGATCACCCAATGATTGTTCAGTAGCTCTGTTTCAAACAGTTTGAATCCCTAATCCCAGGCTTCTGCTTTCTGCTGATGGATTTCTGTGCGGGTTGGTAAAAATGTTCAGTTTTATGATAATTTTTAAGTCTGCCTCACCATTTACTTTCCTCCCAACCTCTTGAGTTTGTGTATGGTTTCCCAGTTAACCAGTTTTGTGTGAAGAATCCTAGGCTGAATATCCTCTGCGTGTGCACACAGCCTCCCAGTCAGCCAGGGATGCATGCCAAACTTCTGTAGCTCATTTTTATATCTTTCAAAGTTCTAGGATCTCCCTGTTAAAATTTTTGGCTGGTCCACTAGTCTGTCACTTGCACCAACAAGAACTACAGCTTTAGGTTAATAGAACTGTGGGTTACTAATTGATTAAAGAATGGAGAAAGATGTATCACAGAAAGAAGCAAGAACAAAAATACAAACATGATCATACTCACATGTCCAGAAGTCCTGATGGGCAATAACTTGATGTTAGGGTATGACCTTTGGTGCAGGACGCTTTCTCCCTTGTTGCTTCCCTCAGGGTATATGTTGGGTCTTTGGCATCCTTGAACTATATCAGAATAAAGACCATAGGGGGAGATGAGAAGATGACATATGGATAGCTTGATATTTGGAACTACTTTGATCACATAGCAATAAAGAGTATCAGCAGGAAGGAGAGAGCTAGCAGGAGGAGGAGAGAGGTTTAGAGATCATTCACTCCATCAGCTTTGCAATTTGGTAGACCAGGAGAAAGCCAAGGCACAAGGATGTTAAGTTTTTAGTCTATAGTTTCATGATTAATTGGTAAATTAGTTGAAATTCATACCTAAGTCTCCTGGCTTTGAATCTTTATTTTTTCTATCATGTCTGACAAAGAAAAGCATAAGTTTTTGTAGAGCCATAAAATTTTTGAGCTAAAAATGAGCTAAAGGTATAATAATATCCTCCAGTAACAACTTTCCAATATTAATATAATTATTATTAGCACCCACTGAAACAACCAGAACTTGTTGAATATCTAATATGTCCCTATCACTGTCTGTATAAGCTCATTGCAAACATGCTGTTAATATTCTCATTTTAAAAAATTAGGAAAGGAGAGATTTAGTGATTTGTCTGAGAGCTGTCAGAAAGTAAGCGATAAAAAAAAAAGTAAGTGATAGAGCTGGGATCTAAACTTGGGTATGTTTGAATTCAAAGCATCTGCCTTTAATATCTATTATGTTGCCTCATATAATGTTGGTGAAAGTACTTTAACCCTGTACTTGGCAGGCTTTAATGACTATACTGAAATCATTTTATGGTGCCTATGTCACCTAGTCTCTGCTTGAATATCTCCAGGGTTGGGAAACTCACCCCATCTTCAAGTAGCTCCTTTCCTTATATGACCACTTCTGTTGTTACAGTTCTCTCATGTGGACTGCTTCTGTTGTTATAGTTCTCTCATATGTCTTTTGGTTACTCCTATAATGTTTGGCTTTCTGTATTTATACAGAATAAGTCAGTTTTCTCTTCTATATGAAGCAAGTCATCTTTAATGTTTTCTTTGCCAGGCTCAACACTGTTTTTTCAGCTATTTTTTAAAAATAAAATTATTTCCCATCTTGGCACTTTCCTTTGGGTGGACTGTAGATGAGAAACTATTACAGGTGGAAAACATATAATACTACAAGTAGAGTATTATAATAACAAAAATAGTAATAGCTACCCTTTATAGAGTTCTTATTATGTGGCATGCATAGTGCTAAATCTTTTATGACTCTTTACAATAACAGCATGAAGAAATAGGCCTACAGAAGCATTGTTGTCTGTCACTTCTGCAGCTAATAAGTGACCACCAAGCTAGAATTTGAACCAAAGTCTGCTTTAACTCCAACTCTTTACTGTGCTGCCCTTGGCTGGCATGGAATTCAGGGTGGCTATGTTACCTCCTGTATTCTGGGTGTTCTGGTTCTGTTAATTTAGTCTAAGAATTGTGTTAATCTTTTTGGTGGCAATATCATATTTGGCAGCATATTACTGGCTTACATAAAGCTTGTATTCAACTAAAACCTATAAAACTTAATAAGATCTTAAATATTTGAGCTTCTGTCTGGTCTGGCCTTAACCTCTTACGTAGTTTTCAGTATAAATGCAAGGCTTTGTGTTCATGTCTATGTCTTGGGGATTTCAGCCTAAGTTTCTAGGTTATCAGGATAATTTTGAATTTTGAATCTGTCATCTACATTAACTCTTCTTCCAGATATATATGACCATGTACATCTTTGATAAGTATCCTTTTTTGTTTGTTTATCTAGTCTTTGATACAATTTCAAACAGATCAGGGGTGAATAAAGAATCTGTATGGCATATCTATTTTTTCCCCCAAACATTGTTGTGGTGTACATTTCTAAAGTCTCAGACATATATTTGGCCATGCCCATGGTTTTCTTTTCTTGCTATTATTAAGATAATATGGTCACTTCATTTTAAGGTTCTGGTTGGAATGATGTTGAGGCTATCAGTTATAATATTTGCTTTCTCTGCCTTCTGAGCAAGACATTTATTACATAGGAAATAGAGAGTTTGGTAGATGTTCCACTTTTGTATTAGACTCCTATTAGAAGATATCTGAATAATTTAAACTCCACTCTATATAGTATATTTGGTACAAGTTTTGTAATGTTTTCTGGGCAAGTATCATACATATTTCATTTCTGGATAGACCATCTATGGTATGCTGCTGTAATAGTATAATTAGGTTTTTCTCTTTAGTCCCTCAATTTTATTATTTACCATACTTTATTGTTAAATTCATGCATTTCTATGTGGGAGTAACTTTTGGAAAGATCACTGGAATGGCTTTGAAAATTTCTGGATTTGGGGACTGACCATGCACTGTGAACTTGAGCAAGTCACTTAAGCTTTGTGGACCTCAGTTTCCTCATATATACAGTAGGGATAGTAATATTCTTTATCATTTAGGATTACAAAAACAGGTCAGGATTTTGAAAATAAGAAACTGATATCTCACATAACAAGAAATCAAGAGGTGGGCAGTCTCTAGGACAAGTAGGGTAGCTATGGGAGCTCCTTAAAAACATTAGGGACTTAGGCTCTTCCGAGCTTTCATTTCACCGTACTTAGTGTGTAGTCCTTTGCCCTCTGGCTTCTTGAGTCATTGCCACAAAATTACTTCTTTAACTCTGGGCTTCATGTCTATGTTTTAGATATAAGGAATAGGAAAGGCTAACAGGCTAAAGGAAAAAGATCTTGGTTTTCTCTTAGGTTTTGTCACTAAGTTTAAGTCCCCCTAAGCATGTCTGCCTGCAGCTCATTGGCCAGAATCATGTTATATGGTCACCCCTTGCTTCAAGGAAAGCTGGGAAATTGTTTATTTTTGTGTTTTAGTCTCTATAATAGAGGAAAGCAAAGTAGAAGGGACTGTGTGTAGGGTTTGGGTCAGCTAGTTAACAATATCTGCCACATGCATAGGATTATTGGAAGGATTCAATTATACAGTGTAATAAGTTTTCCTCTCATTCTATTGATGGTCTTAAAAACTAGAGTGTATCTTGAATTAATTTATTCTACTTTTGTATTCAAGCCTCAGAAAATCTATGAGAGTAGTTACTTGAATGTTAAATGAGTTCACTTTATTGCCTACAGTCTAGAAATTGGCATAAATAGGTTTAGGAATAAATACTGCATTGTTTCCAACCAGCTCCCCTGTTTTCAACCAAGATTAAGAACCATTCCCACATCTGGCTAATCTTTGTGTAACATACATCCTAACCCTCATTGTCTTGGGTTTGTATTTATATCTGGGCTTCTCTGTTAGGGCTATGTTGATTGGTTTGAAGATTATTTGTCTAGAACAGTGTCCCATCTTTCATGCCACATGCCCTATTTTCTCTTTGAGCATTGCTGAAAGAACCAAGTCTTTCCTATTGGTAAAATTAACATGGGTATTACTTTTTTCCCTTCCAAAGCCATTGGTGTCAACAGTGGCAGAGCAGTGATTATTATTATTATTATTATTATTTTTAGCATTTTCTCCTAAAGTCCTTCAATTTGCTGCACAAAACTTGGAAGTTCCTAGAGCTGTCATCCAGATTGCTGCTGATAAACATCATTTGTTTCAGTGATAATCAGCTGAATTATATCTTAATTTGTAAAATAAACAAATAACTTTAGGGCATCAAAGCTCCCTAGTAATTGGGAAACATTCTAGGAGAATGTTTGTTTTGAGGAAGACTATTTTCTGGAGGATACTTCTGCTTTGGGTGAAAATCATACTGAATAAAAAGCAGCCTGTCACTAATGGGGAAATAATTGGGAAAGAGGCAGATCTGTGAAGTGACTCTAGCCCTCCTCTTGCTTTCTTCAGTGACCCACAAAATACTTATAGATTTAAAGAGTTATTTATGAGTCAGAATGTAGCCAGAGGCACATGAAAGATGGCAGGAGAAATCCTGAGCAGCTAACCCACAGAATGACAGCCCTAATTTGAGCTCAATGGGCTAGCTGGGAGGTAAATTTGAAAATAGGCCACATATCCTGAATATACATGCAGGAGCTATCACCTGGTCCTACAGCATGAGGTAGAAGAAATAATCATAGTCACTAGTGTTCAGACAAAGTTGTTAAGAAAAGGCCCTGGGAAGTGCATAAGTCCTAGAGGTGAGCTGAGAGTAGAATGGAGGAGTGAGAATCTTAAATGAGGTCACAGTGAGTAATAAAATGGAAATTGCCAAAGAATTTGGAAATGACCAGAGAAACTTGCAGAATGCATCATGAAGTTGGAGGCTCTTCAGGTTTATTACTTACGAATCTCTTCATTCTGATGAAATACTGGTAGTTTATAAATTCTGTCATTTTGGGTGAAACAAGACTTTGATGTGTATATGGTTTTTTGTTTTTTTGTTTTGTTTTGTTTTTGCTGCCTGCATTTATTTCTTTTTGTAGACATTGTTCGAAGTGATGTTGCCCTGGATAAACAGAAAGGCTGCAAGATTGCTCAGCACCCTGATGTTATGCTGGAGCTCCAACGGGAGAAGGCAGCTCAGATGCATCTTGTTCTTCTAAAGGAGCAATTCTCTAATACTTACAGTAATCTCATATTAACAGGTAAGGCTATTGGAGTCATCTGGAATCTTAGAGTATTATAGATTGTTGGCCTCCATTAGTTAACAACTTGATGCCTGGGAGACATTAAAGTGGGCTCTAGATGAGCCCACATCTGTCTCCTCCACTATATCCCTTTTTAAATTGTGGTGACTTTTGTCTTCCTATAAAAAATATTTCTTGTAGTTTACAGATGTATTTTGGCTTGAGGTTATAGGCAACTCAGCATGTGTGTTCTCAAAAGACAGAACCAATGGAAACCTAATGAAGCCTTATAAAAATATGACTTTTTAGATGTGTGCCAGTAGATTTGAAAGAATTACTAAATTTGGTGTCTAAGAAGCAGCTATTTTCCTCTTTCTGTGTATGCCCTTTCTATGAACCCAGTGAACATAAAGATGAAATGTAAAAGAGATAACGATCCACAGGCTGAGCTGAGAATGTTCTATTCCTGGTGGAGTTTGAAAATATCTGGAGAATTTGATTTTCTTTTTAAGAGCAAAGAGGCTATGAGACAGCCATACTCCCTTACATCCTTGGTTCAAGGAGGGAAGTGAATTTGTGTGAGAGCTCAAAGGAGAAGCAACTTTTTGCAGGGCTGCCTGCAAACTTGGCTGGTAAAGAGCATGTGAGTTGCATGCTTTTGTCAAACTGGAGAAGATTCTAATAGCAGACTCTCATGTGAGAATCATGGAGGACTTGAGATGGATTAAGAAGAGCTGTTTAAGTTACCTCCATTTTCTTGAGGGCATGCAAGGCATACCTGCATATATTGATCTAAATAAAGTTTAACAAATCAAAAGTGTCTGTTTCCCCTTGTTTATGGATATTTAAAAAATAAAGAATGTCTGACAGGCTATGAACATCTCACACTTATTTTTGTAAACTCCAAGTTAGGAAAATTTTAACTTTTTTTTAGAGGCTTCCTGGCATTTCACCAGGAATTGCTGAGTGGCAACCAAATTGTTTTGCTTTAGAAAAGGCACAAGTCTCTTCCAACTTTTCATCTTGTACCTGGTGGAAAACCCAACAGCACGAGATGAAAGCCAGATTTAAATGTGGCTTTGGTGAGCAGAGAAGAGGATTATGGATTTCATAAGTATAGGCCTTGTTTTTTTGCCCTTTGATAGGTCATTAAGGAGGGAAAACTCAAAAGTGATTTATGGCCAATGAATTATTTCCCTAAGTTGGTTAATGACACTGTTTAAGTTTAGATGTTTGGGAAGAACATAGATTTTTATCCAAATTTCTTTATTCTGTCTCAGGTGTACAAATATACATGTACTTAGTATTTTCAAATTCAGTTATTAGAAATGAAATATTTTTATTCCATTCTTATTTTAATTTTAGGTCCATATTAAAGAGGTCAGACCCCATGTTCTTTAATGTGGCATAGAAAGGGCTTAAAGTAATTCTAACCCTAAACTGTGGATCCAGAGTATAGCTTGAAGGCATATTATCTTTGAAAACACAAGTGTTCTATTGAGTTCAATGGAATCTTTTCTAATTCTCAGTAACATAATCCCTTTGGATGTTTATTCGCAGTTCAAACTGTTGGAATCAACATTGTCAACTTTTACCCTGACAACTTGCTTACTTTCCACTAAACAAACTTACCCTAGAGAAGAGCCTCTTTCCTGCTCTTACTTCTCCCAAGCTGCTTCAAAGAGTCCTCAGGCATTTTCCACATTTTTCACCCAAATGCGTGTACAGAGGTGGTACCTTGCTGCAGACAGAGCATTTGGTGTGCCCCAGTTTGTTTACATGAAAGTTCACAAGGTTTTGGTTCCAGGTGTGGGGAAGAGATGGAGTCATTTCAATTTAGCACCAATGATAAAACTATTTTAATGTCCTTGAACCGAGTCTTTGATTTTACACAGTGTGGTTTCCTAATTGTTATGAAGTTTAATCCTTGATTTCTTGTATAAATTTTGAGAACATGGTCTCCAGACAGCTAAACATAATATTTAAACATAACTAAACTAACTTTTGTAAATATTTCCCTTTTCAGTGATGAATGTATATTGGTAAGGAGGGTGAGGTTGAAGGGGCAGAGACCTCTCAAATGAAGTGACTTTCTTTACCAACATGTTCAGAACACCTACTCTAGGATTTCTGCTTGGTGATGTTCCACTTATTTTGTATAACTCTGGCATAATATTTGAAATGTCTGCAATGAAAGTATTTATGTGGAACAGGATGAGGAAACTGGGCCTCCAAAAATCTCAGAAAGAGCTCATTTTCTTCACACTTCTGCCCTCCTCTCAACCCTTCTCCTCAATTCTTTACATAAATAATTATATAATTATTTATTTCATGTATATGGGTAGCAGGGTATCATAATTGTTTCCTGGTCAGTTGTGGTATATTCTTTATTTTAAAATTGGATAACTAAGATCATAGTATGGGAAAAAGTTAATAAAGTCAGCATAGTAGAAAACTGATAAAGTGAAATGTCAGAGTTAAAAGCATATTAAAAATGATGGTTGTTGCCCTCCACTTCACTAGCAAGCCCTCATTCTTAGATATTCCCTCTTTGGCTGATGTTACTATCAGCGTTGAGGTGAGAGGCATGCCTTCATACTCTGCGTTCCAGCTCATGATCTTTCTTAAACAGCTACTCCTCAGATGCTGGCAAATGATATTCTAGGTCTTCTGACCAATCAATAAAAGGAAACAGCTGTGCAGTCCTTAGTGACAGCCCAGTTAACAGAAACTAATAACAATTCTTTAATGTGTGTATCTTATTGATGTATTCCTCCTTATATCATAGTTTTGGAAAAGTGGATTGTATTTTTGCATGGTATTAAACATGTCTTAATGTTTTCATGCAAATGATTTACATAGCAATGGAAATAATGTTAGCCTCACATAATCTAGAGGGTTTTTGAAATAAACTCCAAGGTTTTGGGAAGGTGATGGAGTAATACCAATAGAACATCAGTGATAGAACTATTTTAACTGGTGACAAGTAACATGCTGCACTTTTCACACTGACTCAGTGCATGGATGTATGCTTCTGTAGCTTCCAGTTTGTCCCAGAGCTTTTAAGAAAGAACAGGGATTGTTCTTCCATTTCTTTGCGTTCTCATGATTCTTAATGTAATAATGTTCTATATATTTGTTGGAAATGTTCTGCTGTGTATATGATGAATGAATTCACTTGAGATAATTTTGACAGCTAATTAATAACTTTTATAGGTTCAGATTCAATTATTCATTTCCCCTCACCTTGCCCCACTCCCATACTTTTTGAGGTGTAGATTCACCTTTTGTGGTAGATTCCTATAATCAACTGAAAAAGTCAGCCTTAAGGGGCAATGTATTTTCTAGGATTTTGTTTAGAACGTAAGCTTCTGGAGTGCAAGCAATGTTATAATTGTACAGCATTCTGCATAAATGAGGTCAAATTTAAGCAAAATTTATTTGTGCTGTGAAGTCATAGTCAAGCCTCTATAACCAGGCAGCCTGAACGGAAACCATTATAAATGGATGGCATTAGCTAAGATGCTTTCCAATGAGGACTCTTCTCATGTTAATTGCGGCCACTTTTTGTTTTGTACCTCCTCTTTCAGTCTTAGATTCCAAAGTGGATTGGGATACCTATGGTCAGCTTTACTGTGTTACTGTGGCAAATGAATTGAGCAAAAGAAGCTCATACTTCCCTGTTGTGGCCTATTCTTCTAACTTTAGTTGAACAAAGCGCTCAAATCAATGGAAGGAGAACTGTTCTTTCAGTTCCTATAAATCGTAATTGCTCAGAGGACTGTTTCCAGGTCTTTTAAATTATTTGCATTACATTCTATGGTATTAAATATAACTTTAACCATTTCTCTGTCAATGTACATTAATTTGTATGTTGAAACATTTATTTCTGTAGAGTAGATTTCTCAATGTGGGATGTCTGGGTCAAAAGGTTTGTATTTTTAAATTTTATAAAATCAGGGTTTTTGTGGTATAATTTATAAGAAAAAATAAATTTTGACAAATGTATATATCATAGAGTCAAATAGCCACTACCACCATCAAGATACAGATTGCCCTCACCCTAGACGTTCTCGCGTCTCCCTTTGCAATCTCCTTTCCCTCCCTTCAGTCTTTAGTTGTATCTGATCTGATATTTGTTCCTAAATGTCGTATAAATGGAATAATAAAGTGGTTGTGTGTCTGATTTCTTTCACTTAGCATAATTCTTTTTGAGATTCATTCACTTGTTGCATATATCAGCATTTCATTCCTTTTTATTGCTGAGTAATTTTTAATGTTGTGAACATGCTACAACTTTTTATCCATTTCTCTGTTGGTTTGTTTCTAGTTTTTAGTGATTATGAATAAAGCCACTATAAACATTTGCTCTCAGCTCTTTGTGTTAATGTATTTTTTCTTTTTCTTAGGTAGTACAGTACCTAGGAGAGTGGGAATGATTGATTTCATGGTGTCTGTTTTAACTTAAAAGAAGCTGTCAGATTGTTTTTCAAAGTGGCTGAAGCTATCTTGTATTCCAATAGGATGTGAGAGTTCTAGTTCATCCACATTTTTCCAACAATTGGTATTGTCTGTCGTTTAAATTTTAGCTACTCTAGTGAATATATAGTAGTATCTTGTGGTTTTAATTTGCAATTTACCTCATGACTAATGGTATTGAACATCTCTCATGTGTTTATTTGCCATCTATATATCTTCTTTGGTAAAGTGTTTTAAGCCTTTTGCCCATTTAAAAAAATAATGAGTTTTGTTTTCTTACTATTGAGTTTTGAGAGTTCTGTATATATTTTGGGCTATAGGTCCTTTTTCAGATATGTGATTTGCAAATTTTTTTTTTCTGTGACTGTTTCCTTTTTTTTTTTTTTTTTTAGAGTGCGGAGGGGCAGAGGGTGAGGGAGAAAGAGAATCTTTTTTTTTCTTTTTAAGGAGAGGGAGTGGGGAGGGGAGGAGCAGAGGGAGAGAGAGAATCTTAAGCAGGGCTCCATGCCCAGTGCAGAGCCCAATGTCAGGGTCGACCTCACAACCCTGAGATCATGACCTGAGCTGAAATCAAGAGTCAGATGCTTAACTGACTTAGCCACCCAGACGCCCCGTCTTTTTCTTTTTTTTTCTTTTTTTTTCAGATTTTATTTACTTATTTGAGAGAGACAGAGATAGTGAGAGAGAGCACGAGCAGGGAGGAGAGGGATGCAGGGCTCCATCCCATCATCCCTGGGATGCTGACCTGAGCTGAAGACAGACGCTTAACCAACTGAGCCACCCAGGTGCCCTGTCTTTTTCTTTTCTTTCTTTCTTTCTTTTTTTTTAACAGTTTCTTTTAGAGAGCAGAGTCTTAATTTTGATGAAGTCCGATTTATGAATTTTTTTTGGTTTGTACTTAAAATTGTGATGCACCTTGCCAGATAATTTTCAGAAAAGATTATAGCAATTCCCATTCCCACAAGCAGTGTATGAGAGCAGTTATTTCCTGGCATTCTCATTAGCAATGGGATCAGTGTTCTTTTCAGTCTTTCTCAGCCTAACAGGTGAGAACTATTATCTCACTGTTGCAATTTTCTGGTGATAGCCAGAGAGAGTATATTTTCACATATTTATTGTTGATTTGCATTTTGTTTTGTGAGTTACTTATTCATATTCTTTGTCCTTTTTTTTTTTTTAAATTGGTGTTGATCAGTTTGTGAGTACTGTTTGTGAATTAGGAATGTTAATCCTTTGTCATATGTATTGCAAACCATTTTCCTGGATAGCATTCATCTTTTTACTCTGTTTTTAATTTAGAGCTTTAATTTCTTACTATAACTGGAATTTATGTTTATATTAGTGTGATGTAAGTATATCACATTATTTTCTTCCAAGCTATGAATGCAGTTTTTAAAATAAAACATTCTTTTACCACTAAATTGAAACATACATGTTATGTATTATACTCCCACATATATGTGCCCCTGTTTCTGAACTGTATTTTCTGTCATTTTTCTATTCTTTATTTCTGTGCCAATGCTATACTGTTTTGATATCTGGTAAGGTTTATTAACCACTCTCTCATTCCCCCCCCGAAGGTTTTCATAGCTATTCTCATATAATTACTTTTTGAAATGAGTTTCTCATTTCTTCCAGTTCAATAATACTCATCACTGGATTCTGATTGGAATTGTATTCAATTTATATCCTGATTTGGAGGGGATTGATATTTTTCTGATATTAAGTCTTCCACTTAAAAATATGTTACATCTCTTGTTCATTTCTTGTTTTATGTCATTTAAAAATATTTCATAAATTTTTTTCCTGTACCTTTTTTGTTTAACTTATTCTTTAATATTTTATACCTTTGCTAATGTTGAGAGTGAATTTCTTTCTCTTTATAACTTATTTCCAGTGTAAGAAAGAAGCTGTTGATCAAAGACAAAGGTAGATTTTGGTCTCTTTTCTAAATTTTACCAAGTATTTTCTATTTAATTTCTAAAAACTTCACAAACAATATTGAAAAATAGTGATAATGTTTGCTTTTCACATTTCAGTGAAAGACTTCATTATTTCGTGTGCATAAACATCTGAATATTTATCCACTAAAACTAATACTTTAAAGTAAAAATATATTTTTTCAAAATGAGAGCAACTTTATTATTTTTATGATTATAGTAGAGATAAAAATATTTTTATTAATATACTTTTAGACATCTCTATCCATATACTCATATACATAAGCTATAAACATATAGGAAACACATATCAGTTTATACAAACCAAGTAATGTAATACATGCCTGTTATTTGTAACATTCTTTCTCTTAATATTTTGTGAACATCTTTCTATATCAAAGAATATAGGCTTATATTCTTTTTAATGGCTACATTAGAATTGTTTTATGGGTATATTGTAATTATTTAACTGATCTTTTATTGATAGACATCATGGTTGTCTTTAATTTTTCATGATTTTAAACAGTGCTATGATGAACATCATTACATATGTATCTTTGTACACTTTCTAGAAGTATGGATGCTATGTCAAAGGAATGAACATTTAAACTTTTGATACATTTAGTAAGTGGACTTTTTTTGTAAATAGTAAATGGACTTTTAGGAAGGTCATGTCAATTTATACTTATACCAACAGTGCGTAAGAGAAAACTAATTTGTTTTGCTAACACCGATTATTTTCTTTTTATATGTGTTAGTGTAATAGATTATAATTGATATGACATTGTTTCTAATTATAGTTCATTGATTACTAATGAGGTTAACTGTCATTTTTATTTCTTCTACGAATTGTCCATTCTTTAGCCCGCTTTATTGGGTTATTGGTCAATTTCTTATTGAATTATAAGATCCTTTTTATATATCAGTGATAGTAATCCTTTGTCATGTATATTGCAAAAAAAAAATGTATCTTGGGCTTTTAAAATTTATTTTTGTTGAGTGCATAGTTTAGTAGTCCTTAAATTTTGTTTTTTTCTGTATTTCTCTTCCTCAGTGCTCCTCCCTGGCAGGCTAGCAGTTTGGCTATGGTCTCTATTGCCCTTGGTGTTCTAGCTCAACCAGGTTTTATCATGGTGTGTAGTTCTGCTCTGCGATGATATTTGGGGTCTTGTACATCCAACCTCTGGGCCACATGGCTTGCCTGAATTCTAGGTGTCTTGCAGCCCCTCTCACCACTTCTCCCTGGCCACTTCCCATCAACTCTTGTCTCTGGGCAGCAGGTTAGCAGTGTTGTTTTATTTTGTTTTTCCACTTAGTGAGTCTGGCTCTGGTTTTCCATCTCTCCCAGGGCACTTTTTATCTGCATTATCTCTTAGCAGTCGAACTACTGTGACATCACTCTGACAGTGATGAGGTTGACAGGTTTGGAACAGAGACTACTTTAGATATGGCAGTCAGGGAAGGCCTCTCTTAGCTGAGACTTTCCAGCTGTGTAATCAGTCATTAGTATTTTCTAAGCATCAGTGTCCCCATCATTAATAGGTTGGCAGTAATATATGCATTGCTTTTCTTTTTGGAGTTACTTTTGGGAATCATCGTCTCAGAGTATGTTATAACTAGAGAAATAGTGTTCTGATCTGTGTTTGAATAATAAGATAACGAATGTGAAATACTTTATAAATGAATCTGCTTCATGTCTTTATTAATGAAGGAATCACAGTGGTCCCTTGGTGCAGAAATACACAAGTAGTTGGGCAATTTTAAATTCTACCTAGTTATGTTCGTTCAACGTGTGAGCTTTGGAATCAGACAGTCTGAGTTTGACTCTAGAACAGCCGCTTACTAGCTTTCTTATCTTGGGCAAATTTTTATCCTCTCTTTAGCTTTGATTTCCTCGGGCATAAAATGGTGTTTGTATCTTACATATCTCAGAGAATTATTTGAGGATTAAATGAGATTGTGTGCATAATGCTTCAGCACAGTGCCCTCGTGTACAGTAAGTATCCCATATTTGTTAGATTTATTATTGTGATTAATTTTACTATATTTTCAAATGCAAATATTACTCTTGGGTAGCTCAGTTTCTTTTCTGGTACTGAAATTTGTCTGTTTTTACAACGTCAGTTGACGAAATATGGTAAGATAAAACCAATCGGAAACTGTTTTGAGCTCTGCTGTTAACTTGTGGTAACTTCATGATAAATCTCCCTACCACTCTGAACCTTGGATTTTTCAGTTATCTAGGATGTGTGTAAGCATCAGTAAAATAAAGCACAAAGAGTCACTCAGTTTC